CGTATCAGATTGGCAGATCGGAGGTCCAAATCAGTCGGATCCAACCTTAAAAAATTTCAAAGAATACTAAAAATCCCAAAAAATATTATTATTTTGGTTTCCAAAAACTATAGCCCTAGTGCATTATGTGTTTTCATTATTTTGTGGAAATACTTGAAAATTGAGATACTGTTTCTTGCCTGATGTCTATAGATATAAATTTTGGTACTAGTTTTTATACTTCCAATACTTTGACAAATATTTCACACTCATCATGTGTTTTTTTTTAGTAAAGAAACGAGGAAGGAACAAGGGAGGAAATAATTTTTTTTTATTTTTATACTAATTTTGTGATACTAGGTATCATTTTTATATGTGATTTTTATCTCAGCACACGCATTGGATCTCTCTCTCACGCATACAAACACAAAAAATTATATATTTATATGTGATTTTTCTTTTCTTTTTTTTCTTTTGTTTGATCGTAGATTCCCATTTAACCCAACATATTTCTCTTTTACTCTAGGCAATTAGTACTGTCTTTGGTAAGTTTTGTTTCTCAATCTTTATAAAAAACATAAAATTCTCCACATTGCATAGGTAAAAGTAAAAGGTGCATGTTTTATATATAGCGGGTGGTATCATTGACGAATGTGGGTAGACAAGGGGAACATAAGAAACTTTAAGAAGGCAACACAATATTGAATATCAAAGCGGCAAGGCAACTTAAAGCTCTCCCATGCATGTGACATGTGGCAGTGGGCTAGAGCAATCAGTAATGAAAAATATATGTTTCGAAATAATAAAAATATATAATAATAATTATTAAATGGTGTGAGGTGACCCTATCAATTATTTGATATGACCAGTCAGTTCTGTTAAAGAATCAACGGAACCAGCCAGCTTGTAAAGGGAATTGGTTGGTTCCCAATATCTAACGGGATCTAATCTACCTAGACGATTCTCTATCTGGATCGGCCAATTTCATTCCTGCTCATGAATTTTTAAAATATTGGTTTATGCCATCAAGAGTGTCCCATCCTCTATTATGAGTGGATTGTCTCCCTTTGAAGTATTCATCAAGTCTTGATTATTCTCAACTTCATATCATTGGATCAACATGTTTTCTTTTCTAGCCTAATGTTGAAAGAAATAAGTTGCCTAAGAAAACTGCCATCTATGTGCTTTTTTATTATGACATTCAATAGAAAGAATTTTGATGTATATTCCAATTTCGTATTTCCCGTCATATGAGCTTCTAGGAACAAATAGCATTTTACTCTTCCAAAATGTTGATCTCTTTCCTATTCATCTTTTAAGCCCTATCAAATTCTTTATCTCTTCACTGATTCAATTGATAGAGAACCTTGCATTGTCGACCCCGTCACAACCAGTGTACCTCCTCCAGAGGATGTTCAGATGACTAACCATATTGATTATGTACCTGATGAGCCCGTTCCTGATTCCGATTCTGCTGATTTGATACTTGATGGTCCCATCCTTATTCTGTGCCTCATGACAATGAGTTGCAATCCATACTTAGTGAATGTCATTATCCTACGCAGGTGCAATCTGCACCTCAATGTTTTTGAGATTATAATTATTTATTGACTATGATCTTTCGCCTCAAGTACTAAAGTCCTATAAATAAGGACCTTCTAATCCCAATTTGGAAGCAACTTATGCCAAAAAACCCTTTCACAAAGCCCATACTTGGGATCTTGTGGACCTACCTCCTAGTAAGTTTGTAGTGGTTTGTCTGCGGGACAAAACTAAGACCAACTCTAACAGTTCAATTGAAGCGTATAGAGCTCTACTAGTTGCCAAAGAGTTCACTCAAGAATATGAAGTTGGCTATGACGAGACCATTACATCAGTTTCTCGTCTAACCCTGTCAACACCTTAATTGTTGTTGCTTCTGATTGGCATCATATAGATGTGAAAATGATTTCTTTCATGATGATTTGCTTGAAGAAGCATACATAAAACTTCATCTGCCCATCAAGTCGGGTAGCTTCGAAATGATTTATATGGTCATAAACATGTATCTCGTATTTTGAGAAGTTTTACCTTGTTATCCTTTCTCTGGGGTTCAATCAAAATGCCCACAATTCTATACCCTTTATTTGAGGATCACTTTGAGGGATTATTTCGTGGCTTCTTTATGTTGTTGATATGTTGATCACTCGCAATGATTATATAGGCATCATGATACTCAACTTCACTTGAGCGTTTTCATATGAAATACATTGGCCAACTTTTATATTATCTTGGTATTAAACTGGATTCATCAGCTTTCAAATATATTCTCTCCGAAGTCAAATATGCATCTGATCTCCAAAGCGAGCTACTTTAACTGACAATAAAATTGTTGATACTCCTCTACAATTGAATGTGAAACTTAATCCTCCAGATGGAGAGCTGCTTTTTAGTCTTAATCGATAAGATAGTTGGCATTCTTAATTACTTAACCATTAATTACCATAATATTAGTCACATTCCATTCATGCGGTTAGTTAATTTATATTTGTGGCTCATTCTTCTCATTATGCTAATGTGCTTCAAAGCTTGCGCTACAATCAAAGTACACTGCTCCAGCGTTAACTTCTCTCCATTGCATCTCCTTTTGAACTATTTGCTTATTCTAATGGGTGCGATTTGTATAGAGCCTAGGCTGTTAACAATCAAATAAGAGCCTACCTTCAAATAGTGTCGAGAAATATGGTTTTAAAGTTGAAAATCTTTGTGATAGCCTTAAAATATATTTTTATATTTATTTATAAAGTTTAAAGCTTTAAAAATAGTATATATCGACAGATCTATGAAGACTTAAAAATCTTGAAAATCGACAATCCAAAAATATGTTACAAAATACACTATTTTCAAAACTTGAAATCTATTTTAATCTCATGCCCATGCATATTGATGTCAAGATGATCGATTTGAAGATATTTGGGCATCAAAACAACCACTTCTAATGAAATTTTTTATGTAGGCTCAAATTTGATTGTTTAGAGCCTCGGCTCTATATAAACTTTTCCCTATTCTAATATGGATTGGGCACGAGATGTTACTAATTGCCATTCTATTACTTGTTTCTTTTACATGAAAAATTGAATTTATCTAGATATATATGTGGTTTTGGAAGGAGTTTTAGGAAACGAAAAAGGTTTTTTTTTAGTGCGAAGCATTTACCTTATTTTATGGGTGCAGGGTTTGTTAAAGGCCCATTTGATTCCCTCGAATGGTCTCTGGGAGATCCATTTCTATGGAATTGTGAGAATATCGAAGAAACAACGGGCATAATAAGAGTACCTTGATAAAATTGACGGCGAACAATGTGGCATTTCGTTTACCTTATTTTATGGGTTGCTCTTTCTTAAAGCATCTTGAGCTTAAGGGTGGTGTTAACGAATATTGCTTACAAGGTTATCATGGAAAGTGTACACCATAATGAATATGTATAGAAAGGTTGGGTGTAACATCCTAAATTTTAGGATAAGTTTGGGTATAGTGTAGGTGTTCATGAGTTCTTTAGACAATTAATTAATATCCAAAAGACTATTCTTCAAAAAAGCTTAGGACTAGTAAGAAAGGGCGGCATAGGTTGAGAGAGAGAGAGTGTGTGTGTGAGAGCGAAGATGTTAAAAAAGAGAGAAGGGACGTGGGTTGATATACTTTATTTTATTGTTAGGGGTCCGCCCAAAGAAAGGATCTCAAACCCTAGAGCAATAACAATTATAATAATTAATATATATGAATAAGAAATATTATGTAATGTTAATTTATATACTATAAACTATATAATTAACACATTAATTTTATGTAACATATAACATTATAATCATTATATAATTATATTAATTATATATTATAATTTTATTGACATATATATTACTATAAGTTAGTAATTTGTGCATAATATAATAGATATTTAATATTGTAATAATATATGACACTATAATATAGTATTTTAGTTTATTATGTAATGATTTTAATAATTATATATAGCTATTAATTCTATACACGATAATTATAACTAATTATACATTACTATGTAAGCAATTTGTATATAATGAACTATATATAATATTATAATATATAGTTCATATATTGTCATATACAATCATTAATATATTATATTAAACATATGTAATACTATAGTATATATTATAGGATAATATACTATTACAATATATAATTGATATATACTATACATAATATAAATAGTTATAACAAGATTATTATATTATAATGTAATATGTCTAAGAAGAATGAAGACCTTAAACATTCCTTTAACCCGTCCTATGTCCGGGTACAGGAGGTGGATTTAGATAGCCATCCGACATAAAACATTTCCAAAAGTATCAATGAATCCAGAATTGCTAACCCTCAATAGTTGGAGAAGGGTTTGATGAAGATGCTGATGATTATATTATGAAATCATATATGTATATAATAAAATAATATTATATTATAATACTTGTATAAAAATATAACATTATATTATGACATTATATTATATACTTCTAGGAAGATACATCTTTCAGGAAATTCAAACAATGGACAAGCATCTTTTAAGTCTCTTACCAGATACTATCGAAACAACCAATTTTAAGAGAGAACAATTCCAAGGAACTAATCAAGTCCTGAGAATCCATGTTACATAGGAATGTGAGCTTTTAATATTTAGTAGTCTCAAGCAAACATGTGCAAAAGTGCTTCTCATTCTCCAAATTGCTTCCAATATATGCTGCAACAACTTTCATAGCTTCAAATAAACGCCACACATTATTTTTACCGCACGGGGACACCCACACATGCGCAAACAAGTCTCACACTTACATAACTTCTCATACGTGCTTTTAAAATTATTCAAGTCAAATTGCTAAGAAGATGCAGATTTGATTAGTGTTTCTCTTGAAGCACTTCCTTTATCACCCTCTCTAAGTTAATACAAGAGCTACCTCCAAATTTAACAGCATTTTTTGAGCTCTCCTGCCATTTCTTGGCCTTTAACTTCATCTCTTTACCCTTCTCTCCTTCCATAACTCCCTCACCAGTGCTTCAACATCCTCCCTCTTCACATCAGGGTTTATCTCCATCCCAATGCCCCATTCCTTGCAAACATACCGGCAATTTATTTGTTGATCGGCAAAGAAGGGCCAACACAGCATGGGCACGCCATTGCAAATGCCCTCAATTGTAGATTTCCACCCATTGTGAGTTAGGAAGCCACCAATTGCATGGTGTGACAGTACTTTCATCTGGTTACACCAACTCAAGATTAGCCCTCTTTCTTTAGTTGCTTCGACAAATACTTTTTCTATTGTTGCCGATTTGCCGATAACGAGATTATCACGAATGACCCATATGAAATGTCTTTGGCTGTTTGCAAGACCCCAAGCGAACTCGTTGAATTGATTAGGTGTTAAAACTGCAAAACTGCCAAAATTCACATACACAACTGAGCCAGGTTTTCTTTTCATTGAGCCATTCTACACAAGCATCTTCTTCTTTGCAAAGATCCATTGAAACTGACTTTAAACGGCCTTTGGATTCAAATTGGCTGAAGCTTGCAAACGGGCCGATTGTGTAGATTGGGCAACAGATTCTTTCTCTCATGGCATCGAGAACAAGTTTCTCCAATTCTTCGAATGTGTTGATAATGACTGCCGAAAACTTGAGGGCCTTAGGGTTTTCGACCGTGCAAAATTGAAACATGGGATCATTAAGATTGGTTGTCCTAATGAAGGACGGTAAGTCCCTAAGATGGATATTGGGCATTCCAGGTATCCAATCGACAACTACTTCTAGGTCGCCGTTGGTCATGAAATTCTCATATGCTTTTGCCAAAACCACAACATCTACCATATGAGTTTTCTCTAGTGGTAGCCATCAGGTCAGTGAGTCAAGCCTACCTGGCGAGTGGACCCGATCCAAGTATGGATCCGGGTCAAAGTTTTGGACTCAGTGGGTTGGATCCGGGTCTAGGTCCAAAATCCTTGAACTGTGTCAAACTTAGGTCGGTTTTGATCCTGGTCGACCCGACCAGGACCAGATCGAAATATATCTATACACACATATACACATCTATTTATACATACAATATACATTATATATCTGTGTCATTGAAATATAAGGAAAATGTTTATATAGATCTGAGGCTCTAAACAATAAAATTAGTGTCCACCTTAAATTGATGCTCAAATATCCTCAAATTGATCATCTCGACATCAAGATGCGTGGACATGAGGAAAAAATGGATTTCAAGTTTTGAAAATAGTGCATCTTGTATTGGACTGTCAATTTTCAATATTTTCAAGTTTTCATAGGTATGCTCAATCTACCCTATTTTTTAAGCTTTAAATTTTATGATTAAAGATGAAAATATATTTTAAGACCGTCACTAATGTTTTCAATATTGAAACCACAAATATCGACACTATTTGAAGGTGCGCTTTACTTTGATAGTTTAGAGCCTCGGCTCTATACAAACTGCACCCTTAAAATAAAGCCGTTAATAGAGAGAGTTGGTCAATTCCAAGAAATAAAAGGGGCAAAATGAGAAAGAAACTCTAGGAAACAAAACATGGCCAGACAAAAATGAAGCTAATAAATATACATAACAAGCAAAAAACGAACTGCTAGGATGTCGTGGAACATGTAAGTCTTCCATGACTTCCAACCTTATGCTCTATCCCAATTTTCTTCCTCATTAAGTAACCATGAAAAACAGAACCAATGGAGGAGAAAACAACATTAAAACCTTGGTCACATAATTATCTGATAGATATCGTGCATTGAGAGAATCAGAACTAAATGCCCATTAGGGAGAGATTATTTAGCAGAGCAAGATTCAACTAAACTAATGTGACTTATAGACAAAGCAAAACCATTAGCTATATGGATTGGTGGAGGATCAAAAATGGAAACAGGAGAATATGAAAGACTAGAATCAAAATTTCATAGCGGGAAGCTTTGGAGCCAATGAACCAACAATTCGTACCTTAAGTTCCTAATAAAGTATAAACATTAACAATTGTATTACCAATGCCAAAAATGGCTTATGTTCATATGTTGAACATCTTCAGTAATGAGATGAGTTGAGAGAAGGGGACCTAAGGTTGAGGCCAATGTTGCTGCAAAGCTTGACGTAGTGGGTTTCCGAATAAAAGACTTTTTTTTATCATTTATCTGGGCAATTGAACTTCATGTGTTTACTTCGTTTACAAGGATTGCATCAAACGTTGGACTAGTTTGAGCTTTTCTTTTCAATCATGGCCGAAGAGGTAGTAGAACCAGGGTGAATTAAGATCAATAAACTCTCTCATCTTCAATGTGGGACTCAAACCCACATCTTTCTCTTTCTACCAAACAATTTAAGAAAGAACTATAAAATCATATTGTTGTTTTGAAATACACTTAAGCATTTTTCAAACAAAAAATACTAGCACGATCATCAGAAATTAAACTTTTTTTAGTATACCCAAGTTCTCTATACAAAAAAGTTCTCTGCTTCTTTTTTTTTTTAATAAATATACCCAAGTAGTATGAAACAATCATCAATAAAAGTAACAGAATATTTAAAGTCAGCATAAGAGTCAACTGAGGCTGGTCCCCACATATCAAAATGTATCAAATAAAATAGCTCCTCTAAAATATGCATAGAAGACTAAAAAGGAAGTCTTCTCTTTTTTTAGTATTTACAGACTTCACAAGAGTGAGAGTTTAAATATAAAGAAGGCATTAAAATTTTCAAAACTTGATCTGAAGGGTGTCCAAATTTTCAATGATACAATTTATTGACATCATAATTATTTTGACTGGTAACTAAAGCCTTATTCTCTTGATTAAATAAATATAGCACATGAGACAGTCTTCATTCACCAATCTTCCTCCCTATGGCCCGATCATAAAAAATCACAGAGTTGGGAGATAAAATAACATTGCAATTCATGCTCTGAATAATTCTACTAACAAATATCAAGTTAGAGGGAAAAAATGGTATAAATAGAACTTCAGAGTTATGAGGCTTAAAGAAGAACTTGATTTAACCAATACTGTCGATAAGAATCAAATACCTATTAGCAATAGACACATGGTTTATATTTCCGTTTTTTTAAAAGTTGAATAGGCACTTTAGGTTGCGAGTCATATAATTTATGGCCCCTGAATCTATTGTCTAAGGATATGTATTAAATGAAGACATGAAAGTACAATGATTACCTTTGTCTTGGGAGAAGGAAATAGGATCCTATGTAGAGGAAGAACCACTCATGTCAATTAGTTGCTGAGAATGACCACAGCTCCAGGGATGGTTTTGAGTGGTTGCGGTCTGAGTAGCAAACCTGTTGGTTGTTCTGTCATTGGTGGGCCTTAAATATGGGCACAACACCTAATACCTATCATTCACATATCTTATGTTGTTATAGTGGTCACATCTTGGATGCCCTCTATTACCGCGACCCGTTCCACCATCGCGATAATTATTAAAGCCTCTATCTCCACCATTATTTTGATATTTTATACTTCCATCCAGTAACTAGTGCAGATTTCTCAATACTTTCTTCATGGGTTTTGAAGTCAAGACTCATGATTTTCGTCCTAGTTTCTTCTCTTTGAATAGTAGCACAAACATAATTAAAGGAAGGCACTTTTATAGTCATTAAGATTTGGCCCCTGATGGATTCATATTCATTATTTAACATAGCCAAAAAATAAACTATTTTATCTTGCTCAACACGTTTTTGCAAGATTGCTGGTGAGTACATTGTCAACTCATCGCACATACTCTTGAGAGTGCTAACGTATTCAGTCATTATTTTATCCCCTTGTTTTGTTTGATAAATTTCTTATTTTAATTGAAAAATTGGAGCTACATTGTTTTGTTGGCCAAATATGGAGTTCCATAAATCTTGAGCATTCTCAACAAAAGTAAAAATTTCTGAAAGCTTAGGTTCCACGGAGTTCAAGATCCATGACATCACAAGATTATCATGTTGGGTTTGGTGATAACCAAATCACTACACCCATATTTTTTTTCTAAAGATTAAAGGTATTATGGAAAATAAAAAATAGATTTTCTTGTTTTATAAGAGAGTGAAGGATGACATAATACCTATTCTTTGAGGGTTACCCCTTTAGGGGTTATGGGAATGGATATCCAATATGGAGATGGGTCTCTAAAAGAGAAACATGGCCTCTGAGAGAGAGACGGTGTTCCCATGAGTTTTAATTGGTTAACTTTCACTTCTAGATAGAGAAAATCTCTACGTTGCTCTTGATGTTATCTTTCCAGTAGCGATATTGCAGTAGAAAAGATGATGTTGATCAACAGTGTTGCTCGGTCTGGAGAGCAGGTTTAGAAAGAAAGATCGATGATGATCTTTTACCGATGTTTAGAGATAAATATTATCTCTTGTAACCCAAAACTGTAATATTCTGTGTGACAGTGGATTTCTAGTTGTCAAGGCCATGGTTGTAGCCCTCAGGATGAATCACGTAAATCGTGTGTTGTTGTGGTGTGCCTTTTATGTTTGCTTTATTTCTTGCACTCAATTTATAGTTGTATTCTTCTACTTCGCACTTGGCCAATTGAGTACACGATCTTGGATGGGATCTCGGTATTTGAGATTTTTGGCTCCGCAAGCTAAAGGTTTATCGAAAACCTTACACATCATTGGATTATCATTCCTCAAACAAGGGGATCATCATTGTTGGGAGTCTTTTTCTTTCTATTGATGTGCCCAAGTTTAGATTTCTTAGAGAGAGAACCAGAAACAGCACTCGTCCAAGCAAGATAATTAAATTCATTTAAAAGAACAGTAGCATATTCCATGTTAGAGTTACGTTCTCAATTCGCCATTACAAAGAAATAATGGGAACTAAAAAACTGACCTAATCAGTAAATCGCAATTAAAGAGTAAAAACGCATCAACAAAAATTAACAAAAAACCCGATGAACACTATTGTTTCTCTCGCTAGAAATTGGCAATGTGTATCGAATTGTTGTGAATTTAATGCTCCCAATCGGAATAAATGGTCGCTTTTCTTCAAACCAAATCAAAAGGTCCTTCAAGGACTTCACTTTTGAGAAAGAAATGCCGGAGAGAGAGAGAGAGTCGGGTATCCAACACGCGAAATCATAAGCCAAAGTTGAAGTTACCGATGGTTTAATGGGGGATGTGCCGATGGTTTAAGAGTCGGTGTTGAGCAAACACGATGGATGTAAAAAAGGTAAACTTTCCCACTATGGTTGGTTTGAAAAAAGATAAACTTTCCTTTTGAATATTTGGTTTGGGAAGGACGCAAAAACGATGGACTCAAACACCTCCTATTAAAATAAAATAAGAAAAAAAAAGAACAAAAAGGTGAGACCACATATTTTTACTATACGATGAAAGGTTTGGGCAAACACGCCAGAGGTAAAACATTCCCACTTCGGAAAGTTTGGACAAACGAAAAAGCTCAAAAAATATAGGAAATATGGACGAACCCACAAGACTATAAGAGAACCCAAGAGACATGGATCTCAATCAAGAGAGATAGGAAATATGGAGAGATAGGAAATATGGACGAACCCACAAGACTATAAGAGAACCCAAGAGACATGGATCTCAATCAAGAGAGACGAAGGAACTACCGGTGAGCAATGATTTATTCCTGATAGGTCGACTTGCTCTGATATCATGTAAAATTTGCAGTAACGGGAATAGTGACAATAAAGAAAGATCAATACCATGAATACGTGGTTCGGCAATAATGCATATATCTACGAATGGTCAACCAGTATCTCATTCATAAGGGATTACTCTATTTTTTAGATGTTTATAGAATTACAATTCTTCTCTTTTAAGAAACAAATCTCATTA